AGAAAAGAAGAACATTGAGAGTACAAGAATCAAGGCCTAGAAATCTGGTCAGTTTTCACCGCAAGGAGGTTGCCCCTTCAATGCCAATGCTGCAGATTTGGGCTTGGAGAGACACTAGGTTTTTCTACATGCAACAGGTGTTCAGGAAGTGTCAAAAAAAAAAATTCTTGCAATGGCAACAGGGTACTTCCTATGAATCTGAAAATGAAGTAATAATGACTATATTATTCATTTGTCTCTAGTATCCATGCTGAAACCAGGCTATTCTTCCAAGTTCCCATTGGTAGGTTTTCAACTTCATTTATATTTTGGTTAAAATATCTGAACAGCTCAAGGGCTACAACCCTTACCTTCACCTACACAACCAGTGTTGTAGTACACAAAGTCCTGCACATGCCCAGCACGTAATAAACCAAGTCCTTTCACTTACTTCATCTCAGATGAGGCTCAAGCTACCCTGTGAAGTAAACTTAGTGGGTGTTACTATTATATGCATTTTGCCTATGAGGAAAACTATTATAAAATTTTCCTCAAGTAAACAATTGGTACATGGTAAGCCTAGACCTTGCTGCTACTCCAGGACTCTTTCTACCACATGATAGAAACTTTGTACCCCATGATGACACTTCCCATTCTCAGGGCAATTCGCTACCTTTTCTACATTCTGGAGCTACATGTGAATTTTATAAATCTAAAGACAGGAACCTCTCTATCCGAAAGAGATGGGCTTCAAGCTATACCCACCAGACTTCTATTACAACTACTTGGGCCACACTGAGAATTCCCCCTGCCTCACTCCTGAAGCTATAAACACCATACACAAAATTCAATATTTAAAATGACTCTTAAACCTATAGAAGATGGGCAGTAATGATGGTTAGGCTATACATTTCAAAAGAAAGGATAACATCACTATCATTTGTCTTACTATAATTGTCATTATTTATGGAGGGTCTGCTGGGTACCTGATACTCCCTTGTACTCCTAACAAATTTTAAGAGCTGTTTTGTCTACCTAATGGACAAACAATCCAGGGGGTTTCCTCAGAAAAGATCTAGAATTGGGTCTGTCTACCTTGTTCATTGACCTTTTAGTTAGTTGTGCAACCCTGGTATGCAGGGCCCAGCAGGTTTCCTTCCCCAATTTTGGGCAATAATCAAGCTCATCAAAGCAGACAGGACTCAAAGTTCCAGACCTTATAAGTGGCTGAAATAAAGACATTATTTTTGTCTCAGCTCAAACTTGGTTAATCTCCATATCCAATCTAACTCTGGAGCTAAAGAGGGGAATGTACTTGTTGCTTTGGGACTGCTGCCCTATTTCTTTGTCTGCTGGCTGACCTTCCTTATGTAAGAGCATCAGCATTTACAACATTCAGTTTAAGGAGGAAAGCTCTTTCATCTTTGTCCATTGGCCTTGATCTTCCCTGATCATTATGGTCTGGATTCCTGCTAATCACTAATGATCCTATGGCCCTCTATATAATACTAAAGGTATTAGACCTGAACTCTTAGAAAAATTCCTACTCGGCTAATTACATTCTTTCTGCTTTTCTTGGTTCTCCATATAGTCTCAGCTGGAGTTGAATTTGAATTATTTCCTCAAATTTTAAATTGTTTGCTGGTGGTTTCTGGAAAGCAATTGTGAATCCTTCCCTCAAATGAATTCAATTAATTGTAATTCAAAAGCCCCAAGATCTACCTCTCTCCCTCCCCCAGTTTTCTTTTTCTTGGATGTCTTGGTACTCTCTCTCCCATATTCTGGTCTTGAATATTATAAGAGTTTAAGTTCACTGGGTTAGGAGTTTCATGATTCTGTATTTTGTATGGTAAGTAGCATGTTACTAACTTACAACAGTACACAGTGGTTCTACTACATGTATATTTTGGGTCTATATTTATAATCAACTACTAAAAATGACAAGTATTTTATTTAGTTCACAAGTTAGATTTTACCCATAGGCTAAGGGATGGCTGAGCTTTTTCTAATAGTGAAATCCCATACTCACTGAATAGAATACATGTTAAGTTGGATTTCTTAACTATGATTCTTTCATATTTCAAGGAATGTGGAGCACCAATTCTGTGGAATTATATGGGGCAATCCTAATTTTAACTATGATGCCTTGAATTTCCCAATTCAATTCCATATTCTAGAATTTAACAGCTTTTTAAATCATACCAGAATTGTGTACTCTCATAAAAAAATCAAGCAACCAAATTCTTGGCAATATAACCTTTTGAAGTAATGTATGTTTATAGTGCATATGAATGTATGACACATGTATGTGACAGTTAAATTAGTAATTTGTTGACAATCAAAGAGATTGTGTAATTCCAAATGAGTACTTTCCTTAAAACTGTCCCTTGGTAGCTAGTCTTATTCCAATGGTGTTGCCATTGCTCAAACTATGTTGGTGCAATGACTTTAGGACTAGTTTAAAGGTCACTCAAGAAAGCCATATGTCTTTCAGCTTATTTTGACCCCACATTATATTACTCTGACTTGATCACCCAACTTATTCTTCAGGGCACTGAAAGACTCTAAAGGAAGATGACTCTCCACCTCCAAGGCTTTTAAACAAGATGTACTGTGGGTTCTGAAAGCATTGCCCAGTGAAGAGCTTCAAAAATGGTTCGAGCGATGGCAGCAATGCAAGAACTAATGTAATAAGGGACAGCCTTCCAAGATGACTAGATAGATGAGGACACACTAAAATGCATGTGCAAGTTCTGGTATAGTTGTTGAAACACAAACATTAGTTTATAGTCATATCTCGGTTATATAGTTTAAGCCCTACAGTGCAATATTAGGGTTAGGGATAAAGTTATTCCTAACACAATGGCTTCTATTATTCCACTTCACAAAATTTTACATCCTTTGGGTGCATCTTGCAGATCTCATATAAAATGTTTTGGTATTTAAGGATCTAGGTATTGTTCTGAATGATTTTAAGCATTATCTAAGAAAATTAAAACTATAGATAATTGGAACAAATATATTGGGTATGTTTTTCTATTTTTACTAAACCAATTAATTTCAGCCAGTGTATGCATGACTACTTGGGATGTGTTTTGTTTACTTAATTGTAGGCAATTCTTCAGGTTGGGGGAAAAAAGGTACTGTATGTGGTTTTGATTTTAATTAAAAATACAGTGCTTTCACTTACATGACCAGCCAGTCCAGCATACCATATAAGGAGCAAGACCTTTTTAGGAAAACTTTGCATTCCAGAATAATTCAAAGACTATCATAAGCCCCTTCAATCATGTAAGTCCTTCCAACTCTGTTTAAAGTCTTTCAAGGAAAGAAAAAAAGACAAAAACCCATGTTCTGTGAAAAGGGCACAAACTGGAGAAAACTTTCCGATTCCTAATTTATTTTCTTCCCTTGACTTACTACTTGAAGGTAGTCAATACAGATTTCCATTTGTACGAATGAAAGGCCACAGTTGTAAACTTTTATAATAATGTTCCTTGGAGTTAGGAGAAAATATACATATTTTAGTTACATTTCAAAAATTATTTATTAAATGCTATAGGGATCATATTCAATGGCAAAGTAAAGTGGGGGACCTATAACAATGAATAAATATTTACTGGATGGATGGAAGAAAAGAAAACTGTATCTTGGGTCATCAACACTATGGGAGTTTAGCCTCCCAAAGGATTCTGGCCAATGTAAATACAGCTTTTGGCTATCATATAACGTTAAGCCTAAAGCATTTGTTTAGATTTGGATTTGATTTTTCCAATTATTCCAGTTTTAGAAAATGGTCTCATAAATAGAGCTCTCTCACTGACTTATTTGGGCTTTTTGGTAGGTTCCTCAGTTTATGATAGAATAGAATTAAGACAAAATCCTCTTCCTTCCTATGGGGCCTGAGTGCATTGATAGATACTTACAAAATGGTAAATGCTACTACCTCTTTCAGCATTTGAAAGATGTTAACCAAACAAAATATTTTTAGTATGCGAATTAAAATGCCTCTTACTGATGGCCTCAGATGTTTCCCTGTAAGATACCGTGTCAAGAATTGGTTTATATATTATCCGTCCTTCCAGAATGCACTGACATCACACTTCATAATAGCTTGGTATGATGATTGTTGTCAAAATCGCCTGCATGGAAACATCCCTGCCCTAGATTGACATAATGTATTACAGTGTCAGAAGACTGAAAAACTAAGAATGCCGTGCGAAGGCCGGCTTCGAGCACTGGGGACAGAGGGGTTCGCTATGCGGGAGCTGAAGGGCCTCAATCCTCCTCCTGTTTTAATTTAAGAAGAGAATGAAAGTTGCCTGGAGGTCTCGTGGGCCGGACTGGAGGCGGCCAGATAGGTAAGGACAGCGACAGGAGTAGGAAAGTATTTTTTTCAAATTCGAATCCCATCCAGCGACAGGCCTTTGGTTCCCCCTTCTCCGTGACCACCACACAGTGGCACACACATTTCTGCTGGAAGCTGAAATCGAGACGAGGGGTCGGAGGGATGGGCTGAGGCCCAGACCCGGCTGAGGGGTGGGCCAGGGTCCAGCCACCTCGGCCTGGCCTTGGCGAAGCGCTCCAGGCTCAGGAGCTGTTGCCCTCGCCGCGTTCCACAGCGCGTGACCCAGTGCCCTCGCGACCCCGAGCCGGGCAGCCCCGGCACCGCCTCGTGGCGCCGACCCACGGGGCCGCTCTCTCCTGGGGGCTGCGGTGGGCACAGCTCCCTCCGAGGCTGGGTCTCTCCACGAACCCCCTCCCCGATCGCAGCGTGAGAAACAGAGATACCCGAGCCGCGGGCCCCAAGTGCACACAAAGCCCCCAGCGGGGCCACGCCGCCTCCACACCTCGCTGCCCCCAGCTCCTGGAGCGCAGAGATCAGCGCCCCGGGTCACCGCGTCCGCCCCGCGGAGAAGCACGGCAAGGGGACGCCTGGAGCAGGAGGCGAGACCCCGCGCACGCGAGCACCCCCGCCCCCAAGCAGGGCCCTCTGCCCGAGGGAGACTCTCACCTCACAGAAACGGGCGATGCCGCCTGCAGGGGGAGGAGAGCGGGTGGAGGATACTCACGCTGGGCCCGGCCGCGCGGAGACTTCGCTGGGAGGACGCGCGGGCTCGCGCCGGGGAGTGGAGCCCCAGCCCGCAGCGCCCGCGCCTCCCGGGAAGGGAGGCCTCTACCGTCTGGCCGCGGACCTGCAGCCGCGGCGAGCGAGCCGCCCCGCCCCCCGGCCTCCGCTCCCCTGCCCCCTCCGGCCCCTCCTCTCGGCCCGCCGGGTGCGATCCGCTCTCTCCCGGAGATAAACGCGAAGCGACGTGGAAACTCTTCCACCAAAATGAGCTGTGATATCCTTTTGATGGCTATAATTTATTCCAAATCGTCCCTGGACTGAAACGATCAATTAGCAGCCCGAAACGCACTGTGAAGTAAATTGTCACACTCTCTATTACAGGATGGTTATCATATATTTATAAGGTGTGTTTTCTGCAATCAGAACCAACAAGGTGTTGAGCGATCAGTCATAAACGCACTTCTTCAAAAAGAGGGAGAATAGTTCAGCATCGTGTAGTGGGGAAAGCATCCTCCTGACAGTTATCCCCCCACCAGTGACGCATCGTCTTGGCAACCGGGAAGTGTGCGGTGAAGGCCGGAGCTCTGAGCGGATTCTCTTGGCCACGCGTGACCCTGTGAGCAGTGTCCCTGTGAGCCACGGAGACACTCGCAGCCCCAGAGAAGAGGTTTCCTTATTGTGTAAATACAGATCAGGCATCAGGATCACTCAGTGCTTCTATCTTCCTTCCCATTTAGGAGAGTAGTATCCTACTCTAAACTTCTAAGCTTCCAACAGAATGTCTGCAATCTACACTTAATCTTGTCTCTTTTTTTCTTCCTCAGGTCTCAAGGTGGTGACCTCCTGTCTCACCATTTAAGTGATAATATTGTGTAGATATTATATCAGGGTGACATGAAGTTCACCCACAGGGAGAACTCTGCATTCTGAATTGGAATCTCCACCAGAACTCTTCCATCATTCATAAATGACACAAACTTGTAAGAAAGTCATAAGAAATGCTGATTCAGTCTGGTAGGCTGTCTTGACTGGACCAAGCCATGGAGACAGTGTTAGTTTTCTTATAGTCATCCTCTATGGTTTAGGAGTGTGCATCTAGAACTCCTGAACTTTTCCTCTAACAAACTTTCTTCAGATAGTCATCCACAAACCACCTATCAATCATTTTTTAGAGGAGTTCTGGTTTGCATCCCGTTAATATTTCTTTTGCCTCAAAAACACAGCTCTAAAGCCTCACCTAATGAATACCGAGTGTGAGAAAAATTTAGCAGCTACAAGTATGCTTATCTGGTAATAAAGTAACATTGGTGCAGAGAGAATCACAAGCTGTGAAGGTAAGATTCAGAATTTATACTACATTCTTCTTGGGTTAACTGTCCCATAACTTATGCATGGCAGGGTTTGTCTGTAATGCCAACTCTCGCAGAATGGGCAAAAAGGAAATCTGATTGGGCATTTGAGTTGTAGGGGCAGGTGTTGCCATTGGGCTGCCCCCAGCATAAATGGGGTACCACATTCCTCTCTCAGAGAGCAATAGGGCTAGGGACCCTTGCTTCATTTGAGGACTGGCATAGCAAAGAGCCAGGCCTGGCACCTCTACCTTGTACTTTCCAATGTTATTGATTTAATTTTGCATTTAATAGCTAATACTCATATAGCTAATACTCCGTGTTAGGCATTGTGTTTTAAATTACACGTGCACCTTAACTTATGATGGGGTTGTCCTGAGAAACCCATCACAAATTTAAACTATTTTAAGTAGAAATTGAATATTTTTGATTTGTGATGGGCTTGTCTGAACATGGTACCATCATCAGTCAAGGAGATTTGGCACCATCATAGAGTCTAAAAATCGTAAGTCAACACATCATAAGTCTGCACTGTCTGTATATGTATTATTTAATTCTTTCAACATTCTTAATGAGGAAGGTTCTTCATTTTGCTAATGAGAAAATTGAGACTTGGAGAGATTAAGTAATTTATCCAAGGTCACACTCCTAGTAAATGATGACCTCAAATCCAGGTCAGTCTCCAATGCCCACACTCTTCACCCCAATAATATAATACCTCAGAAACTTAAGATTTAGATTTAAGATTTTTTGCCACCAAAAAAATTTTAGTGCAGCTGATGATACAATGAGAGTGGTGACTTCTGAGAGAAAATGGAAAGAACAGCTATTTGCAAGAGAAAGCCACAATGGATACTTATACACCCCCTCCTGTCTGGGTTGACTACCTCTTCTCTTTTCTACCCTTTCTACATCCCATCATCTCTTTTTCAGAGTTATCACCTGCCATCTAGCCAAGGAGACCTCACCCAAGTTCAGTGATGGCTGCTAAGCTTGGGGATGGGAGGAGAGGGTGGATGCAGCAGACCCCAGAGAAAGCACAGCACCCTGGGGAGGAGCCTTTGTGGGAGCCAGAGTAGGCCAGAGGCCCTTGTCCCAGACACCCAGCTCTGAGAATGAAATGTTGCTTCCTAATGGACTTTAAATTACCAACATCGCTAAACTCTCCCTTAATAGACTTGTAAAGATTTGCTTGCTACCTTTCTCCCCCTTCATGTAGAATTTGTAATCAAGAGCCCAATTTTGTCATTTGGAAATACTAATTATCTAATCACGGCATGCTGCATAACGTACTTGTATGCCCAATTAGCTAGGACAATTATTAAAATTCAGAGGCCTAATTATGTCTCAATTTAATGCTGGCAAACTTGCATACAGAGCAGTAATTAAAATCCTCTCTTTCCCTCTGCCTTTAGGGCAGGGGATGATTAGGCCCTGTCAGGGGGTGTACTGAACCAAACCAGTGAAGCGTATTGTGCAACATGACCCTGCATTGTTAAGTGTGTCAACATATTAACCTGAATTCCCTTCAGCCCCCATATAATCACATTTGGTGGAGGAATAAAGGAGCTAAAACAAGAAGCATTTTATTAAAAAAACATAAATTCTTTTTAATTAATGCTATGAGAGTTCTGATGAATTTCATGCTTCCAAGTGCTGGAAGACACAAGACTGGTTCATCTAATTACTAGCAAATTTGCTCTTCTTAAAACGACTTTTTTTTTACTCATTTAAAGAAAATGATTTTTTTGGTAGTACTTAAAAAAAAGCCCTAGCTAGTTGGCTTCCAGTTATACAGTTGATTACCAGCTTTGATGGTGGAACACAAGTGAACGTCGACTTCCAAAAGATTAAAATCTAAGACTGGAGGCACTGGGGGAAAAAAGACTATAATTTAATACTTGAAAGATGTTAATAAAAGTGGAACATTAAAAATCATAATATTGAAATAAATTCAAAATATTTATCTTTTGAGCTCTTAAGTTTGATGTCTGAAATCAAATCAGTGTGAGACCAGAGCGCTGCACAAATTCACAATGGCTCAGAAGCCCCAGACCGTGTGTGTCCACTCTGCTAGCATCCAAATCGTCTTCTCTGTGAATTAAGGAGAGCCATAAAACCCACTGAGACTTCTGAGATAGCCTCTAAATTCTGGCTTTCACTCATGATAGTCTTTAGAGATTATTCGTATATTCAACTAGTGAAGAGCAGCATTCAGGTTAGACCAAAAATGAATTATTCTGGAGCAGGACTTCTTTTAGTTGTTTCCAAACTTCTTACTGCATGGATAGCTTCCAGCGAGCAAGAGTCACACAAATACATACACAAACACACACACACACACACACAGAGTCCTTCCCTTGGACAGAATTTATTCTCAATTGATCTCATTTCCAATCTCATAATAACCTTGTAATATAGGTAAGGCAAGCATGCTTCCATTTTATTAAGGTGGAGAGGTTAAGATACGTGTCCACACTCAACACTCTGTACTCCCCACTTCCTAATTATGGGCGGGGCAAGGCTAAATCTCAAGTCCCCTTGTTGCTCACTGCCTCAGACAGAGGGCTGTGCATGAGAGACCAAACAGGGATGCTTACTCTGGTTAAATAGATCACATTGAGATCAAAGTGTAGATAATGTTATATTATAAATAATGAAGCAACAAGGGAACAGCCTACGTACCAACACTGGAGGACCTTCTGTCCTCAGTCAATACTGATTTGCAACATGTTTAGTCATATTCCTTCAGCTTTGGTGCCTTTGGCACATATTCTTCGTCTTTAAGTTTTTATATTTCCCCAGATATGTGGTTTCATCTGGGTCAGTGGTGGTAAAAGTAGGATTCCTTCCTCCTAATCTTGCTCTAGGTACAATGTGGTGTGTTTAGATGCAATTCTGGCTGGTACATGCCCTCCTACTAACAAAGGCAGAGACTACAGACAATCTCTACAAGAGATAGTTGGTTGGAGCCAGCACAGGCCCTTAGGCACTTAAGCAATAAAACCCAGGGGGGAAACACCCCTCCCCCTGGCCTCCCAAGGAGTGTGCCCTGTGTCTTGAAAATGGCCTTGCTCTGAGTCTCTTTGGATGGTAAACTGAAGTGCAAATCTGTGTTCTGACTTGTTCCCGTGGCTGTCAGCATGTTTTCCTCTTGTCAGCAGCAATTGACTGGTCAGGCTCACCCCTGTACAGCAATTGTAACAGCTCATTGACAGACTAGTGACCCAGCTGGACCTGATAATGGAAAACTATTGATTTTTGTGGGCTCCACGAATCTAAAATGAACGACCGATGTAATGTCATCAATTGTCTCGGACTCTGATAACCCAGAGGGAAAAAGTTTCAGGGATTGCTTGTATTTCTTGACAATAGTGTTCCAAAATATCACTGGGTATATGTAAGAAGCGGCCCCTTTCTTAGATGGTTTTCTTAAATGACCCCAATTAGTCCATCAGGGCTTCAACACCTAGGCTTGCATGTTAAATAAAGTGGAAGTTGGCTTTATCAATTAGCCAAACTGCTATCTTTCCTAAATACTATATATTTACACTGTAAGTGTATATTATATGCTTTACATACTATTTAGGAAAGATACTTGTGGAGAAGCCCTTTGGGAAGAAAATGTTTCAAATGTTTTTTATTTGTTATAAAACAAGTTCACAGGAAAAAAACAAAAACTCGGGAGAAAACCAAAATACATTGGCTCTCCAAGAGTCCTGATACAT